GGCTCCTTTGTCATCTTTCCCCAGGATCCCATTTCCTTTTTTCATTAGGCACTAATTTTGTTCAATGACATTGCATTTGACCAAACGTCACCTGTCAGGCAAACTTACCTTTCTCCAACATGGCCTAGAATTCAGGAAGAAACACACAAACAAAGCCATTGGTGGCAACTGGGCAGAAAATTAGATGTGAGGAAAAAACTTCATACTCCAAAAGTAGCATGAATCTAAAAGGAGGTAGAATCTGAGCAGAGACTGTCGGAGCTTACTTATAGCTTAGAGACTCTTACATTGGATGTAATTTTTATCAAGACTTGGCTCAATCGTTTCCCAGTCGACAGCAAATTGAAGTGGAGTGTGGTTGGCACCTTGCTCAAAGCAAGAAATGGAGGGGACCAAAAACTGAAAAATGCAAAAACAGGAAGTGAATAAGTGTAGCTTGGGCCCCCTGCACAGGTGAACGTCCCCAGGGGGATCCACCCCTCCCAGCACAGCGTGAGACTTGACATTCGTAATCATCGGGAGACACACGGGAAAGCTTAATCAATGTTCTGCATATTCTGCCTGCGGCAGAGACATGTTTGGAGCTCCTTTTGAAAGAGTTCCATAAAATTTTCTTAAGCTTTTGCTTGAAAACTGTAAGCTTCCCCTATCTGGAACATTTCACCTTAAATATTTGGATAAACATGTTATCTTGTTGCCTAGACATTTCACATGTTTAGGGACTGTCTTCCTAAATTCTTAATTCCTATCACGGCTGACGCTGGCTAGAGCTCAGCCACTCGAGACGGGGACACAGCGCCCCGTCCGTCCGTGCGACCTGCCTTTCCTTGTCAAAGCCACGGAACGTGATGACTTCATTCCCTCTTTCAGCTTTTGAGACTTGGAGAGTTCCTGTCACACTTGGAAGACTTCAGCGGCACCTCCAAGTGACAGCAGGTGCACGGGTTGGGTATGTGACTTCAGGAGCAGGGCAGGTCCCTTTTCGGAGCCCCACCGTGGGAGTGAGAAGGGGACCCAGGCTGCTGCTGCGTCCAGGCAGGGGAGGACTTCCCAGCCCGTCTGCAGCTCAGGAGGAGGAACACGGCCGCCCCTTGCCCCTCCTTTAGAGAGAACGAGCCGGACATCAGGCGAGCAGAGGGCAGGTGTGGAACAAGACCAGGGAGCGGTGAGGGACACTCAGCTAACACGCAAAGTTAACACGCCGGCGCTGGAGATGGCCAGAAAGACGGCTCCGTAGGGTGAGCCTGGACGTGTGCAGACGACTCAGCCTTGCGGACACCCTCCCCATCTCGGGGTGCCCAAGCAGAGGCCAGGCGCGGGACCCAGAGCCGCCCACCCTTTGCTCCTGGTGAAGGCCAGGCACTGGGCGCAGGAGCCCCGTGCGCTTCTCGGGTCGATGGCGCTAAGGAGAGAGGATAAGGGACGCGCTGTGGATCAACTCGGGGAGCCCAGGTTGGACGGCCCCGGTCCTGTTGGTTGCAGGCCTTTAGACGGGGTGGACCCAGGGTCATCTGGAGTAGAAGGCTGAGGGCAGCTGGTGTCCAGGCACAGGATGTATTCGGCGGGCAACGAGCCGCCTTTGGAAGTGTGTGAGCGTCCCTATGGGTTGGCAGGACCGTGGGCACCAGCATGGGCACTGCCGCCGTCGGCGGCCCTCGGAGGCCCTCGGAGGTCCTCAGAGACCCTAAGGCTCCTAATTCATAATTTCTGTAACACGCTAATGACACGATGTTGGAGCTTTTAAAAATGCGCACGGGTGAAAACGACATCAAAGGCCATTTAGCTATTTCTTAGGTGTTTAGTCAATAAAAATTACATGTGTAGACCAACAGGCGCACACAGCTAGAGTCTAGATTAATTGTCTGCACACAGGTCATACTATATTCTTAGAATGGAATAATTGGATATAACAAAATATTTGTAAATGGTTCTCTCTTTTTTTTTTAAAAAAAATCACTGTCTTTTCTTCTAAATGAACATATACATACTTGAGGGCCTTGTAGCATTACACTGTATGAATGTCTCATGATTTACATTTAAGATTTTTTCTGGATTTTTCCCTGCTATAAATGATGTTGAGGTGTGTATAGGAATTTTGCCCATATAGCCCATTATTTTAAAGGATAAATTCCAGGAAATAGATGTTCTGTATGCCACAGGGGCTTCATCCGTTTCCCTGATCGTGTACCAGTTTTAGTAAAAAAACTATCCCAGTTTCTACACTCAAAACTGTATCGGGCCCCAGTGTCACACACAAAAAATAAGTAAATACATAAATAAGAACTGTACAGAAGGGTGCATCTGCCTCTTCATCAACACTGGGCGTGATCACAGTGTGTACCTTTGTTGATAAAGGGATCTCAATATTTATTTGCATTTCTTTGATGGTAAGTGAGTTTAGATGTAGTTAAAAAAATTTTGTAGCTATTTCGTTTTATTTTTTTTTTTGAGAACTGACTTTTTTTTTTAATGTCCTTGGTCCCTTAGGACATTATTGCTTTTTTGCTTCCAATAATTTTTAATGTATGAATTCCCTTTGGCATATTTGCCATAAATAAATTCACCTAGTTTGTGGTTGGCTGAATATTTTGTAGAATAGAAATTCTGACTTTTAGTCAACTGTAAATTGTTTCATTTAAATGTTGCTCTCCCGTGATATATTTAAATAGTCATAAGGTTATGTAAATATTTATTAATATTTTCTTCTAGAGACATCAGAGTTTGCCTATTTCTGTATCACTCAATATTTTGGGATAAGGTTGTACATGGTAACGATTGGTCTCCAAATGCCAAGATCTTGTAATAACTATTATTTTTCTCACTCAGTCTTCCTGTTGGTTACCTTTCCTTCCAGTCACCTTTGATGATGTTCCAGGGCTGCCTTATTCCGAGACCCAAACTGAAGAGGCAACCTCTACTCTGTCTTTGGGTAGAAGACTAAATTGTGGGAGCAAGAAAAGAGAGCAATGGTGGAAGCAAGCTGCGGCACATGGAACTTTGTTCACATTTCACTGTCCAAATCCAGCCATATGGCCGAGCCTGATATTAGTGGGGCATGGAAATATAAATTCATGGAAAAAGCAGTGATAATTCAGGGCTAAGTACAAGCTACCGTATGTTTGCAGTAGGATCGTTCCTTACATTTTTCCAAATATTGCTTCCATATAATTTATTTTTTAAAAAATCTATTAGCAACTTTTTATAACTTTACTTTATTTATTTATACTTTTATGTGGTTCTGAGTATTGAACCCAGTGTCTTACACTGCTACGCAAGTGTTCTACCACTGAGCCACAACCTCAGCCCAATACCATTTATTAATACTTTTATTTCACATACTGATCATGAAGCTACATTTATCATACATCACATTCTTATAGGCTTGTCTTTGGGTTTTGGACTTTATTTTGGACTTCATCAATCTGTTTTTCTAGTCCTGTACCAGGTTTAGTAATATTTTTAAAATGAACTGGGGAAAGGACTGTTTTATTCCCCCCTTTTTCTAATAAAGATATCTCAAGTATTCTCTGTGTTTGTTATTCTACTTAGACTTTGAAAACCTGAATTTATTTCCAAAAAGAAATCTTACTGAGTTATAGGTTGAAATTATATTACATATGTGGATTAATTTGGAAGATAACTGATTTTTGGCAATACTAAGTCTTATCCATGAACATAGTACATCACTTTATTTGTTCTGATCCATAAGCATACTATATCACTTTATTTGTCCCCAGGCCTGTTTCTGTTTTTCCTATCATTTTCTAGATTCTATAAAGCATGTCTTAAAATTATTTTTTAAAGAGAGAGAGAGAGAGAGAGAGAGAGAGAGAGAATTTTTTAATGTTTATTTTTTAGTTTTCGGCAGACACAACATCTTTGTTTGTACGTGGTGCTGAGGATCGAACCCGGGCCGCGCGCATGCCAGGCAGCACGCTACTGCTTGAGCCACATCCCCAGCCCTCAAGAAACTTTTTAAGTTTTGATACTTTGTGAACTTATTTTCCCTTATGATATTTTTAAATGGTCATATTTAGTGTGTGTCAAAGCTACTGTCTTGTCATTTTTATAGTTTGCTACCTTTCTGAATTAATTTAATTATTTTAAATATTTTTCAGTAATTCTCTTTTAGTTTTGAAATCATACTTATACTTGTTATTGTATTTTTCATATCATTTCTTTTCCTAACATTGCACTAATCAAAAATCCTAAGACAATTTGAAAAATAGCAGTTATTTCATGTGTTATTTTCTTATTCCTGATTTTAGAAGGAGAGGGACTGATATTTACTAATATTTGTGAACTGTTCTTCTAATACTAGTGTAGCAGGATTGTTTAATCAAGAATGCAGTTGAAGTCTATCAAGGTTTTCCAGATCTTCCTTCAGGGTCTTCCCGGGATTTTCTTCCTTGGACCAATCATTATTTGAATCTTATTGACAATGTTCATAATATTAAACTATCCTCCCACATCTGGAAGTGATGCTTACTGGACACAAAGTGACGTTCTTTAAATTTATAGTTGTATTTAACCTGCTATTCATTTAAATGACTTTTTATCTATAACTTAAATTTTATTTAACTTCCTAAAATGTACTGTGGACAAATTTTTTTTTAATTTCTTATGTGCTAATTTGTGTTTTTGACTTTTCTACTTCTTATTGAGTCAATTTAACTTATTTAAAATCTTAATCAAAATTTAAAAATTAATTGATGTAACCCCTTTTACCATTTTAAATATTTCAGAAGTTGCATCATAAAAAAATTTTTTTGACCTTTCAATTTACAGGTTTTGTTTGATCTGAAGGAAGCCAAAGGAAAGGTGTCAATTCCGTCTGCTACCAACAGATGGCGATAGCAGTCACTGTAAATCCTGACTTTAGATGCAAATGATTGGGAAGACTTCGTTCTGGACCCTCATCTCTTCAGAATGAAGAAGACCTTGATAATCCTACGAAACTGGCTGGTTTCTTCCGTCTGTCCTCCTCTCCATCACTCTCCTTTTTCTTCCTTCCTTCTTTATTCTTTTCTCCTTCCTGGCTCTCACTTTCTCTTCCTTCCTTCTTTTCCTTTCTTGCCCAGCCTTGGAATGTATTAGAATTTCCAAAGAATCAAAGCTTTATTTTGAAACTTCATGTCATTCTTCAGCTTTTAATAAAAGTTAAGTGCTTGGTTTATCTTTTATATTATTTAATATTGAGAAAGTATTTAATTCCATAAATTCCCCCATGGATTAACACCTTGATTGCATGCCACTGATGATTTATTTTAATTGTGATTAACTTCTAAATAATCTGTCCTTGCAGTTTTGACATCCTTTAATGCACAATTACATTGGGCAGCTTTTTTTTTTTTTTTTTTTTTTGTAGTTCATGAAGAGGGGTCTTCAATATCTAGCCCTCCACAGTTGTGAAGCTGCGTTGGGCAGCAAGCGGTCCATGACATGAAGCCTTCACTGCTGAACTAAGCACTTAATACTGGACCTGATCTTAAAGGTTCTTTCACTGCAAAGACCAAGGTCCGTCCATTCCCGTCCATCTGGTCAGATGTCTGTCCAGTAACCTCTATTTGATTATTGAATGTTTTTCTGACAAAACAAAGTGAAACATGAGATGTGGCTTAGGAGAGATCCCGTGGGATCTTACGAAGGTGGAGAAGGTGGTGCCGGAGCACCACTGGAATCAGATTTCGTTGACAAACAAGGGTCTGAAAAACCTGTACAGTCCTGGCTGACAGCTTCAGAGGAGAAGCATCTAAAGTAGGAACGCTCAAAAGGACCGTGGGAAACTGACGGAGGCTTTGAGTTTTTTATAATATGACTTTATTATTAAAACATGGAGAATGTTGTATCATGATTTCCCAAATTTGTCAGAACAAGTAGGCAAAAATCAATGTTTTGTTTTTTTATAATTTTACCAACAAAGCAAAATAGACTCCCTTTGATAATTTTTAGTTTTATTTTTCAAGATAAAGTTCCACTCCAACTTTTCTTTCTCATTATGAAAATTTGAACTTCCTTTTAAGGAGATTTATTTAAGAGAATTATTCTCAGTTGCCATTATCCTCAGGTTATAGCTTTATTAATTTATAATATCAATATATTTTAAACAGTTTATCGATAATTTTTATGTGTATCAATTATCCAAAATTTCAAGGGAAAAGTAATGTATTCACTTCCATTTAAAATTAAACATTGGGCTGGGGATGTGGTTCAAGCGGTAGCGTGCTCGCCTGGCTTGCGTGCAGCCTGGGTTCGATCCTCAGCACCACATACAAACAAAGATGTTGTGTCTGCCAAGAACTGAAAAATAAACATTGAAAAATTATCTTTCTCTCTCTCTCTCTCTCTCTCTCTCTTTAAAAAAAATAATAATAAAATTAAACATTAAAAATGCTTCTTATTATCTGGCTTCTTCAAATCTTTGTGTATTTTTTGTCTAATTGATCTGTCAAAAACAATAAGGGTATGTTTCAGTTTCTCAAAATTATAATATTTGTGTCAGCTTTTCTTTGCATTTCTAACATTTTTATATATATTTATGTGAATATTGTGAGAAATAGAACAACTCAAAAAAGTCAACACACCCTACTTTAAATTTTAGTACTAGTTAGCATTAAGTGTTGCTCACGTTTTCCTGAAAAGCTGTGAGCATTGATAAATATTTGTTGAATATTGCATCACATTCTTAGTTTGAATTATATATGTTTTTACTGTAAAATGTTCCTCTTTATGCCATTTAGTATTTTTGTCTAGATTTCTTTTTCATCTAATATTCATTTTATATTTATGTGGTGTTTCCTGTATTCTTTGTTGTTTAAATGTGTCATATCAATTTTGTTGTATACTTGTACTTTCATAAAAAGAATGTACTTTGGGTTTAATGTATTTTTTGAGCCAAATGTAAGAGTCTTTGCCCCTCCGAGAGCCTTTGTCCCATTCCCTAGTCTTTATGACAGGTGCTGCCCCCATCACCTTCCCTCTCATTTCCTGTGGGCGCACTTCCTTGCTCTCTCTGTTCCTTATCCTATGCTACTTTGACTTTGCTCTTTTAGTTGTCCGTGTTTTAAAGGCTGATATATCACGTAAAGTCTAGTAGTGGTGATCTTTGGTGTTTAAAATTCATTTTCTGATTTTTCTTTTTCTAATTATAGGGTCAGGAGCAAAGCAGAATCTCTGGGCTTCTCAATCTGTCCTCCATTTGGGGGAAACTATTTGATACAATTTACTTCCCCTTTCTGCACAGGTTTTGGTATTAGATCATCATTATATTGTGACTTTTACTTTCACTTTCAGTTTTAAAAGCTAGATTTAAAACAATTAGTAGACTTAAGTAAACTTTGATCAATTTCAGTGTTTATTACTGTCCAATTCCTAAGATGTAAATTTTGACTGAGGTTTATGATAAAATACTTTCTCAAGAAGATCAGATGAATTCTTGTTCATATAAGAATGTTATTGGGTTGCCTTTACCTATAAATGACCACTTTTTTGTATATTAATGTTTGAAGTGTGTATATACTGGTCTTTAGCTCAAAATTGTTTTCTTCTCTTATTTCTTTAGATGTTGCTTCTGTTCTTTCCCAGTTGCGCTCTTTTAAAGCTTATTTTTCGTGGTTCTTTTAGTTATGCATAACAATAGGATTCACTTGACTTAATTAGAAAGGATGGAATATAATTTGTTCTAATTCAGTCCCCATAAGTCCCCTTCCCTCCCTTTCTTTCCCGCTTCCCTTCCCTCTACTCTACTGACCTTTCTAATATTTACTTGGTTTTTTTTTCTTAATCAGTGCCTTGTGGATGTACTTTTTATTATACTTTTTTCCCATTCTCCCTTTTCCATGATTACCGTATTTCCTTCCTATCCATCTTCATCTACCTCTCTTTGTTCTGACGAGGTGGTGTTCTTACGTTGGGCGTTTACATTTCCTACTCTCTACAGTGCTGACTTTGATTCTCCCAATATTTTAAGTTTCTTTGAAATATTTTGTTTTCCTTTTATTCTACTTCACAACCATTACTCTCTGATCATGATTTTAAAAGTCTATTTTCTTATCCTCTTTTGAGAATCTCAACTAGGTTTTGAATATTTTCATCTATATTTTAGTATAGCTCATCTTCAGAGTCAAACTCATTTTTTGAGCCTTATTCCTCCTGAGTTTCTGATTGTTGTGAAGTTATGCTTTTTCCTTAGATAAATTCCTTACTTTCCTACTTACCTTATGGTAAAGAACACATGGCCTTACTGATGTCAAGAGATGCAGAAAAACGTAATGTTTCACTTTTATTTTCATGAAGAGAAAAAATATTCCTCTTCTTGCAGTGTATTTTTACTGTGCTCTTAATTTAAATCAATAAAGCAAAACTTTTCTCCAGAAGTAACTTTGCTTTTGGAGTTATTTAAATAATCTGTAAACTTTTTTTATTGTATTATAGAACCTTGTGTTTTTAATTTTTTTTTTTTTAGTTGTAGATGGGCACAATATCTTCATTTATTTATTTATTTTTATGGTGCTGAGGATCGAACTCTGTGCCTCACACGTGCTAGGCAAGCCCTCTACCACTGAGCTACAACCCCAGCCCAGAACCTTGATTTTTAACAAATAAACTTTATTTCTTAGAACACTTGTAGATTTACAGAAAAATTGCAAGGATAATATAGAGTTCCCGTATTCCACTCTCCCCCTTGATTTATTTGTCACAACTAGAGGCCAATATTGCTACATGATCACTGACTGAAGGCTGTGCCTTATTCAGATTGCCTTCATCCTAACCCTATGTCTTTCTTTCCCCCTTCCTACTCCAGGGTCCCATTCAGGACACCACTTTACCTGTGAGCGTCATGTCTCCTGAGGCTCCTCAGCTGTGACAATTCCTCAGGCTTTCCTTGTTTTCAGCATCCTTGAACAGTCTTGAGGAGCACAGGTTGGGTGCTTTGTAGAACGGCCTTCCACTGGAATCAATCTCACGTTTTTCTCCTGATTGGTCGGGGGTTCTGGGTTTACATGGGGAAGATCACCATTTTTATCACGTGGTAGTAAGGGCACATGCCGTCAGCCAGCGTGGCTTGGTTGGTTTGGACCCCCTGGCTGAGGTTGTGTCTATCAGGCTTCGGCACCCACTCTGAAGTTTCTCTTTACCCACCCACTTGTCCATTCCATGCTGTGCGTTTTGGAAGGAGTCACTGTGTGCCGCCCATGCTCAAGAGTGGGGATTTGTGCTCCATTTCCTTGAGGTTAGGGTATCAACACAAATTACTTGGAATTCTTCTGCACAGGAAAATTGTGTTTTCTTACCCATTTATTTTTTTTTAAATTTTTCATTTATATCATTTTTAACTTTTATTTATTTTTTACTTTGAATATGACCCCTTAATTTTTTTCCAGCTTTAGCCAATGAGAACTTTGTCATTTGCCTCCTGTGACCTAGTCCCATCACTGTGGATTTTTTAAATTTATTTTTTGGTACTTTCTTATCCCCTGGCACCATGAGATATCCCAGGATCATCTGGTACAATTCCTGCCCTAGTCCTAGAATCAGCCGTTGATCTTAAAAGCCCTTACTCCTTTTATTGGAGAGTGGTATTAGAAATCAAGATCTAAGCATTAGGGATGCTCAATACTGCTGGGGTGTTGTTACTTCTAGGCTCTCTCAGTTGACAGAGAAATGTGTGTAGACTTACCAGTGCATATTCACACATCTAGAAATATTTTCATATTCAACCTCCTTTTTTAATATTAAGTGAAACATGTTTATAACAATCCATGACCACATGGATCATTTTAGCTTCCTCCCATTGCTGATCTGTAGACTCCCATTCCACAATCCTACTTTGTAAAAAGTTTCTTAAAAAACAATATTCCTAATTCTATAAATGTGTCTGTGTTTTAAGAATGTGTGTGTTGCATGTTCATTGTGGAACATTAGGAAAATTAAACAATGAATGTGGAAAAAATACTAAATATCCTTCTAGATTCCAAAACTGTTAAAAATTTACACACACACACACACACACACACACACACAGGCACATACACACATATACTTTTGTGAACAAAATTGTGATCATACTAGACATATTACTTATAATCTGCTTTTTCTATTCAATGATGTATAATGAGCTTCCCTCCCAAGTCATTAACTATTTTTAAAGGTCATGATTTTAATTTCCTACAGAATATTAACCTCTAATTATG